TATGTCTGCGGACTCACACCCGCTAAAAACAGGGTTTCAATACTACTTGTGGTGGGCACAGAACAGACAGCCCATTATGTAGCTTTGCATTAAAACAAACAAAGTCAAATCAACAAAATCAAATTTCTATCTCGTTCACATAAGGAGTAAAAATTAAATTAATTTTCGTCACTACTATAATATGTTGTTTTTTTGACAAACATTAAATCTGTAAAATAAGATCAAACTGAATCGAACTGAAGTTGTAATAAATAAGAAAAGTTTATTTTATATAAGGTTACAGTTTAATATAGAGTTTAGAACGTTCAAAAAGTCGAAAACGTGTGTTTTTATTCACCGGAATTATAAAGTTCAATATGGACTAAGCCGTATGTCTGCGGACTTACAACGCTATTAAACCAGGTTTCGATACCCGTGGTGGGCAAAGCACAGATAGCCCTTTGTGTAGCTTTGTGCTTAACTTCAAACAAACAAATCAAACAAACTGTGAAGGAATAATGAAAAATAAAATAAAAATATTTCATATCTTTTGTTTGACTTACAGCAAAGCCACAATAAGCTGTCTGCTATGTCCACCGCGGGAAATCGAATCTCGGGTTCTAGTGTTATAGGTCCGTAAACTTACGGCTGTTCCGCCGAGGGATCATATCTTTTGTAACTATACTTTCCAATGATATAATATTTTTGCAAGAATGATTTCAGAGATATCATAATTCAACGAGTATATCTTTCTATAAGTTCATATCAATTCCTACATGTTTTTAAACACCCTGTTCGTCCTGTAATAATAATAAAAAAAATGTTTTGTGATTGTTCTAGCAAGCGTATTTTTATTTTTCTAGGTAAGAAGAAACACTGCAAAGATATTATGGATTGTTCTGGTGTGTGTTATAATTAATTTCAAAACGTAAATCTGTGTGCACAAATGTTAGATAAGAGACGTGGATAGAGATGTATATGTTGCTACTGTTGTAGTTTCTAACTATAAAAAAAAGATTAGACGAGAACTAAATAAAGGTTAAATGAATAAGATACATTGCATAAAAAAGAATTACTATAAAACCAAGAAGAGGCGACAACCGTTCAAAAATAGAATTTCAAAATTTAATTTTTTTGAAAACAAACATTTGAAGCGTAAGGTAAAATGTTAGAGTGTTCTTTAATCTACTTCATCCAATCTGCTGACTACAGAATGCTCCATTCTTTATTCCAGCTTAGTTCTAATTGATAGACCAAAGACAAAGATTTCGTTGACACTTACCATTCAGGTACTTTAAATATTTCAGCTGAATTAATTAGTAATTTATTCTGTGAAGGAGAAAATATATATATTGCAACCTTTAAAAACACGCAAACTTTGCGTCTATTTTACGTGTTCCCTGATTTACGATAGTAATTCTCCACAACCAATTATTACAAAATACCAAGAAAAACAATCAAGACGCGCGATAATTTTATTTTATTTCACTTTTATTTCAAAGAAGTGTTCGGGAAAAACTGCGTTCCACCGGTTAGTAAGAGAGCGCAAGGAGGAAATTAAATAAAACCCAAGTAATAACAATTTGAAGAAAATTTATCTTTCACAATAGATCGCGTTATTTTGTTTTTGGTAATTATATCAGATATACAACAAATATTTCCTCCAAGTAGCTAGATAATATACTTAAGCTACAAACATTTATCTCAGAATCATCCTTGTGCTTGTTATTTGAAATTTAGAGGTAATAAGAATAATGAAAACCTTACCAGTCGAGTTTGCGGAATAATTGAAATAGTGCCATCTATCCTTTTCTTTTTCTTTTTACTATTTTTTGTCTTATATAACTTGTAAGTACAGCTACTGTACTATACTATAAAGCAATATAGTGAACAATCGCCTTTTTTCATCTCATTAACTTTATAAGGAAGAGTTTTAAATGTTACCACGTATAAGATTTTAAACTTATTGTTTCATAGCTCTTTGTACGTTTATGTTCGCTGTAACGAATTTGTTGTTATATATTTATTTTAATGTGTACGTTTGTTTGGATTGAGTTTATATTTAAAAAATCGCGTTAAATATGTATTGCGAAACTCCCGCCTATTCTCCAAAGTTGTAGAGGATTCTCGAGAGTAAAAATCAAAAATATATGTGTGTATGTAAACACTTTAACTTGCATTGTTACGTAATATGAATTTTCTAGAAAATCTTCTCACGCCTATAAATACAACCAACGCGACGCGCCAAGGAGTGTCTGTTATTAGTTCGCTATAATCAGTGTCCTATAAAACTTCGGAAGCTATAACTGTGATTGTTATAACGCTTACCAATCGGAAAACTTCAGATATTTGACCAGGAAACTTTACAAAGCTCGAACACTACAAATTATTTAACTTCAGTGGATTCACATCGGACATTAGTATTTTTACGAAAACATTACCTAACGTCGCCGGTTGAAAAAACGGCGTGTGATCAATCAAGGACAAAGTTAGTTAGTTTTACATTAAGTAAAATATATCTACGTCAACTCGTAATCAACTCGCTCATCGTGAACCCTCGATAAGATATCAAGGGAGTTCCAAACTAGAAAGAAGATTTTATATTGTTTGTAAGTTTGTGAAACTTTTGTTTATAAATCTTTGTTTGTAGTAACTATTTGTAATAATTGTTACTGTAAATTGTATTGCTGTGAGTATATTAAAACGTATTTGTGTTAAAAACGAAGACGGTGTGTATCAGTTTTGTTGGCAAATATCGTAAATTGACTAATATATCGGCTTATATTTAAATACTAAATCCAAAGTGTAATTTAACTATTAACTTTAAATTATCAGTTAACTCGGCTTCGGACTATTCTAAATTCTAATACGAAACATTACACAAATTTTTGTCATTGTTGAAAACTGAAGTATTGACAGTAAAATCTATTTCCACGTTTAGATCATTTTACAAATCGAAATAGATATTGAATATATCAATGGCGTTGTAGTACATCCTCAATTTTGTCTATGATTATGGAGTCTCACTCTTAGAAGTCAGACGTTTTTTCACATCAGTATACGAGTAGTGTGAGTATTCTTTATTATTGTAAAGATTTGTTATTGTAACTAAATACAATAAGTTATGTAGTATGTAGCTGCGTTAGTGTTCTCCCCAGTAAAGCTGTATACAGAATATTCCTCAGAGTAAAGCTATATACAGCTTTATTCAGAGTGAAGTTGTATATGCTGTTCTCCTCAGAGTAAAACTATATACAAAGTTTTCTTCAGGGTAAAATTGTATACAGTGTTCTCCTCAGAGTAAAGTAATATACCTTTTTCCTCATAGTGAAGCTACATGCAAAGTTTTGTTTAACTTAAAACCTTATTCATTATCGGATACATAGAGTATAATATGTGTGGTTTATCTATGGTTACAACTTTTAACCAGGTTAACCCATAATATAGGTAACACGAAAAAACTAGTGGATGGATGGATGGACACATTGGTATTTGAGTGGTTGAGCTCAACAAGACCGTAGAACGTAAAAAGGATGTCAAAAATGGTTAAACAATTAACTCTCTCAATACGGGCCCAGTCAATTTGACCAACGACGTGACCTTTTTGTACTCGTTTAAAGTGTTTATAGATTTAATACTTCTAACTCTCAATATAGTGTGTATATCTTCACGAAATTTGGCAGTCTTTCAGATAACATTGTAAGTCTTTCACATACAAAAAATCATATTTTGAGTCAAGTATTTTTAATAAAATAAAATAAAGAGTTGTCCATGAATATATTGAGTATTTGTTTTGAATAGTCCGATTGTAAAGTAATTTTCATGTTAAAATTTAAAAT